TGAAATTAAAGTCATATTTTGGCTCCTGTGGATTTGGTTTAATTTTCCTCAGCTTCAGCTTGAACTTGCATATGAGTAGTTGGTGGTCTGTTCCACCATCAGCTCCTGGCCTAGTTTTCACAGCTGATACTGAGCTTCTCCAGCGGTTTTTTCCACAGATGTAATCGATCTGATTCCTATGCATACCATCAGGTGAAATTCATGTGTATAATCTACGTTTTGCATAAGAACAATCAAGTGTTCTGGGGTTCCCATTCTTAGAGTTAACCACAGTTTGCTGTGATCCACACAGTGAAGTGCCTTTGCATAGTCAATGAAACACAGATAATAAGCTTTTATAATGTTAGAAATTTGCCTTGTTAACAACTTTATCTTAAGCAGCTAGAGCAGTGCCTGGCTTCCAGTAGATAATACTGTAATCTCAAGTATCTCTTGGGATGCTGTTAGTTGTAATTGATTTGACAGCACATCAGAATAGCATTTTAGAATGGAAAAAATACTGATAACTCTTCAGATGATAATACTATGTTATATTTTGAGCTGTAATGGCTTCTAACAATTTCCATAATGTTAGAGTAGAACAGATTTTTAGGTAGTAAATCTAAAGTTTGGGTTTTAGGTATATAAAACTTATCTTTTGGGCAGTTAACACAACAAAGAAGGAGTTTTTCTCACTGCAATGAAATAGAAAAGTGTCATTCATCAAGTGATCAGGAAGGAATGCAAACCCATATTGACTGTCTTTACTATCTCTTCTGTGTTATCAGAAAAGTGTTTATGCAAAAATCACCTGCTGCATTTTGCATATTTCAGTTGAGCTTAGGAACAAAAGTTAGGTATCAGCAGTTGTAATGACATTTCTTTTAGAAGAAAATAGCTTGATCAAAAATCACTTGAAAATTAATAAAATATAATTATAGAAAAAAAAATCACTTGAAAATTTTTTACTCCTCGGACTACTGCTGACTTGCTGTGTTTTGGGGTTGTTTTTTTAAAGACAAAGCGCAAAAGTAAGGTGCAACAGTGGGCTTGAGCATGGCCATAGGTTGTGAAGATAGTGAAGGATAGGTCAAGGTTTTAATCAATCATAGGGTTGCTGTCAGTCATAGTTGGCGCCATGGCTCCTAAAACGAACAGCAACAGGAGAATAAAGGATAGCTATTTGGTGTGTAGGAAGTTCTGATGACGTAGGGGATAGAGAGTTGTGCTCCTTATTCATATCTGTAGTGAGTTGAATCCACCAGCAGCTCCATGAGAGAAAGGTAGACAACCTCCTGTGTGATTTACAACCTCTGAAAACCCTCTGGAGGATACGCTATGATTTGGTTCTGACTCAACAATTGTGAATTTGAGTGTTTTAGTTTATTTGATGAGTTCTGAAATTTTTTAATCAAATCTCCAGAATCCATGAATAATTACTTGCTCAGAAATAAGGGGCAGGAGGAGGGAGTTTCCGTTTGTTTTTTTATCTTTTAGTCATATACTCTCAACATGAGGTGCCCCTGGTTGTTTGAGGGATTGGTTTATGTCTGTACTGGGATCCCTGGTGATAATAACCTGCTAGACTGCTGACCATGAAGTCACTGGTTTGACTTTACCAGCCCATATGGGGGAGAAAGAAGAGGCTGTGACCTCCAGTACAATCTGCAGCCTCCCAGACTTGGAAACCCAGTGAGGGGTCACCAGGAAGCTGAATTAACTCTTAAGGCAATTTGTTTTGGGGTATGGTTTCTACGTTTATGCAGATATCCATTTCTTGATTATAGTTGACCTAGAGGGCCATCTAGTGGTAGCTTCTGTGTATGAGAGTTTCCATGGCTTAATGGTATGTTGCTCCTTTTGCAACCTTTTTTGATTTAATTATGATGCTTCTCATTATTCCTGCCTTTTTAAGGTGTTCATCTGTACTATGTTGGCGGGGAGGTATATGCGGAGTGCCTCAGTGACAGCAGCATATTTGTACAGAGTAGGAACTGCAACTTTCACCATGGCTTTCATCCTACTACCGTCTGTAAGATTCCCAGCAGCTGTAGCCTCAAAATTTTCAACAATCAGGAATTTGCACAGCTTCTGGCTCAGTCTGTCAACCATGGGTTTGAGGCAGTGTATGAGCTCACCAAAATGTGCACCATTCGAATGAGTTTTGTCAAGGTGAGTGAATTGTGACCTATAATTTAGTCACTGTAAAGAAGTATATTTCTATATAACACTATTCTTTACTGAATGTAAAAGAGTAAATATTTCTTACCTGATTTAACTTAAACTACATGTTAGTTTTGAGGGTTTTTTGAGGTTTTATAAGTTGTATGATACTGATTTTGAATTACTGCTAATTAGGGCTAAAGAATTTCAATTAAAGACTAAATTACTGGAAAGTATTTAATATTAGAATTGCTTTTCATTTGCTTGTTACTAGATTTCCACTAGAATGACTTAAAGAATTATTTTTAGTACTAAAGCTACTTTACTTATAGTTAATATCTGTTACTAAGGATTTATAAAGTTTAACGAACATTTTAAATCCATCACATTTCAATTGATTATATTGGCATTGCAGAGATGAATCATGAACAAAATTGGGAAAGAATTTTAGTGATATATTAAGCAACCTGTATTTGCAATATCTGCAATATGGTCCTTATGGACCTGAACAAAGAAGTCATTCTGGTCTGGAGGGGTTTGCTCTGCTAACCAAAAGGCAGCACCTCTCTGGCAGTTCGAATCCACCATCAGCTCCACTGGAGAAAGATGAGCATCTGTGCAATTTACAGCCTCCAAAGATTTGCTGGAGGGCCAACCATGAGTCATTTACAACTTGATGGTAATGAGTTTCACCTAAGAAGAGCAACTGTTGAAGTCTATGGATCAGTTTGTTTTGATCTTTAGTCCCATGGCCTATTGACTTCCCCTCTTTTTCTGTTTTAATATTTGTTTGGACTTTTAGGCACATGTATTTAAATCTAATTTACCCAGCAGTTTCCCATCTTTAAGGGTAATTGATAATGACTGCTACATTAAATCACACATCCACACATTACTGCAGTCTGTATTGCTTTATTTACCTGCTGTGGTGACATAATTTGGCTTAAATTGGTTTTCTTTTTTTTTTTTCCATTTTATTATTTTCTGTGTGTGTACCGTCAAATTGGATCTGACTGGTATAGGAGGAGATGGCCCCTCCTTCTTCGGCATCTGGTGGATTCGAACTGCTTATCCCTGGGATTGCACTGTGCAGTGCAGCTTCTTGCCACTAGGCCACCAGAACTCCCCTTAAATTGGTTTTCTTTATCAGAAAGAATTATGATGTATATCTGGTCCCAGTGGTTTCTATTTAGGGAGTTAATGTTTTATTGGTGGGTTTTTGGTTTTGTTTATTAAATCGTACATCTGCCAGTAATGTAGATACTGTGCGTTGCTTTTAATTCTAAGTGAATGCTAAGATGAGTGATTTGGTCATTCTTTCCTTTACGGACATCTTCTGTCTTTAAATTCTGTTTTGTTTTTATTGTGACAGTAAAACTGATATAGACTGATTGACAGTTTGAAGAGGGATTTGTTCTGATATTTTTCATTTTCCTAGGGCTGGGGAGCAGAATATCACCGACAGGATGTTACCAGCACCCCATGTTGGATTGAGATTCATCTTCATGGTCCTCTTCAATGGCTGGATAAAGTGCTCACTCAGATGGGCTCCCCTCTTAACCCTATATCTTCTGTTTCATAGTGCAGAAATATTCATTTGTATTATTAGTGGACTTGTTTAATTTTAGAAAAACTTTGAGTACAGATACTGTGAGCTTACATGGAAAACAGATAATTACAGTGTATTTTTTTCCTACATAATTGTGACCAATACATTTGTATTTTGTGATGAATCTACATTTGTTTGTATTCATATTCATGTGATTAACTTTTAAAAGTATTGTGAAAGATGCAGTTAGTATTATACCCCAGTTCAGGAGTTTGGGATTAATCTTAAACTGGAATATACTTTTTTTTTGCCCATTGTCCCATCATCTTTTTTTTATTTGTTAAAAAAACTTTTTAAACAAGTATATCATGTGAAGAAAAATGATAATAGTGTATAAAAAGATATACCGTGGTCTTCTTTCCTACCCTTTATCCTCCAGATTCTGTACTTTCACTTGTTTCATCGTCCTGCCAGCTTTAAAAAAAAGTATAAATTCATTGTTTTACACAGCACATGTTTTAGGCTCAAAGGAAATAAAAAAAAAATAGTTTCTTTGAAGAAACACTATCAACTGCTCAAATAAGTAGTGTTCAATAAATGCAATGAATACTTTTCTAGATGAAATCATACAGTTAACATTTAATACATTAAATATCTGTAATGTGATTTCACGTTGTTGTTGTTATCTTCTTATAAAACCTTTCCTTTTTAAAAAAAGAATTACTGTAGCAACAGATCTCTTGTGTATGTAATTTACCCACATCTGTCGTACTACTTTATAGCTAGTGTGATGCATGCATGGCCTTGTTCATCTGTATTTGCTACTTTTGGCCATTGTTGCAGGAACTTTTAATGTTGATATGCATTAATTTTTTGTTTTGCACTTTTATGGGTTACAGATTTTAGCATAAACTTTGTTGAAACACACTCAAGTGACTTGGACTTAGATGCTTGTTCTTACTTCCGTGGTATCTTTTTTTTTTTTTGTATTAACAAAATACAGCAATTTTTATAGATTACACTGTAGAAAGTTACTCTTCTAGCTTTTGTTTTCTTTTTCAGTCTAGAACTAGAAGACTTATTTTTTAGCTCCAGTTTAAGGTGTCTTTTTAATTCCTTATAGTTTTATGGATACTATATGTGAGAAAGAAGTGCTTAAGCTCATTGTTTTACTGTCATCTGTCTCACACAAAAAGACTCGTGAAGCTGTATGAGTCCTTTTAGTAGGGCTATGAGCATGAGGCTGTTGGTTTGATACTTCAGTGGATCAACAGTAGTTGTTGGCATAGCTGATTTTCAGACATTTATGTATCAAAGAATGAAGACTATTCTCTCCGTTACCATGCACACCAAATTTTTAGTGCCTACATGGATGCTAGTCTCTAAGAACTCAATCCTCAGGGAGGAGAGACATGAAAACTCTAAATATCCATTTGATCAATCATGTTTAAAGGCTTTGGATAAAGGCCTCTTAACCATTTACCCTAAGGAGCAGTCAGGTGGACACTTAGTTCAGGCATGAGCATGAAGACACTGTTTCACAAAAAAGGGCCTGATTTCCCTGTCAGAAACAGCTTTATTTTTTGGTGCCTTTTGAAAGTATATGGAGCCATGTCAATCTTCTGTTTAAAAGCATTAGTTTGGCTTGATTATTCTTTGCTTTTTGTGAGGAAAAGTGCATTTTTGAGGAAAGGAGAATACACTTTTTTATTTTCAGTGACATTATTTATTGCTTTTACAAAATGCAGGCCAGTGGATGGTTAAGTTCTTTCAGATGAAGTGCCATATGTGTTTCAGTTCATAGTCCTCTGCTGGATAAAAAGGGATACTTTGTGACAGCCACTGAGCCTGAAATAGAACTGTTAACATGACATTGACTTCCCAGTCTTCCAGAGTTATGGTGTACACATGAAAGATGATTATTTGCTTAGAGAACAGCTGCTTGCATTGTTTTGCTTACAAGGTTCATAACAAACTCTTTGGAATGACAATCTTAACCTGGGTTCAGACTTGTGGGAACTATTGAATGACTTTTGCTGATGTTTTCAATGAAGCTAATTAAATATTTCTGTTTGGAGTCAATATTCAGGTCACAGTAAGCAAGATTTTTATGTGATTGACCTTTCCTTTTCTCTAAGGAATTGTATCTTGTGTTTGACAGTATTAAAGTTTTCTGGAGAAGTACAAATCTCTTGTATTTCCCTCAAAAAATGTTGTCACCTCTACCTGCGTGGATTTTAAATAAAAACTTTATTCAGTCCAATTGCTCTATAATCACTTAGGTCATCCTCATAGGGAGCACTGGTCACTTAGTGGCAAGAAGTTGTGCTGCAATCATGAAGGCATGCTGTTCAAATCCACCAGCTGCTTCGTAGGAGAAGGATGGGCGACCTCCTCTCTTGCAATTAACTGCCTCTGAAAACCTGCCGGAGGGTCAGCTATGGGTCGGTTCTGACTCTACAGTACACAGTAACAACACCAACAAGGGCATCCACGTAGCCGTGGATGACAAGTCAGTGTGATTAAAAAAGCTAATTAAAATGTTGACCAATAATAAGGAAAAAGAAAGTGCTTCCGAAACCATTTTTTATTAAATCTCTAGAGTTCTTAATAGTCACATTATGAAAATCTTTACATAATAGTATTAAGACCTAGAACATGTTGCCTTACCAAAGTTCTGGAATGTAAAGTGGTTCGCATGCTATTGATCAAATGAAAGAGAAAATTTAAGGATAATCTTAATCAGAAATGCCAGATGTGCACTGTTACTGTATAAGAAAACTGGTAATAGAATTGTTCTGGGTGCTAAGGTGAAATCTGGAGTTAAATTTCTAGATACATAGACCCTATGTAAAAGCTCAGAAAAAAAGATGTCACTAATTTATGCTTTCCCTAATTGACTGCAAGGAGTCCTTTTTTAGGATGAAAAATGATCAGTAAGTATTTGGCTGTGAAATCTGTTGTCAAGATAAGAACTCACTTTATATATAATAAAAACCAATGAGCCCGCATTTAGTGGGCCTGACTACCTTGTTTTTCAGGCTTTGCACGTTTTCTACCTTTGACAGAAAAAGCCTTAACCACTTTTCTATTTGCCCTATATTATTGGAAAAGACTTGAAAGTAGTGTGTTTTCCACTTCTGGCAGGTCTCTCTCACATTGATTCTAGTTTTCACCTTTTTTACTGTGAAACTTTATGTGTTACTTGATTCTTATGGGAAGCAGTTCCATTCTAAAATGTTTCGTTGAACAAAAAGATTTTAAAAGAAAATTAAATCCTGCCAGTAGCAGAGAACTCGGAAAAAATTGATGATGCTCTTGTTGTTAGGTGCCAAAGTACGACTCAAAGCCTACCTTGAACAACAAATCAGAACCTTGTTTTATTCTGCACCTGTCTCTATTAGCTCCAACATGTGTGAGCCCATTGTTAGAGTCACTGTGCCTGTCCACCTCACTGAGGGTCTTCCTCTCTTTCTCTGACCTTCCACCTTTCCTAGCATGATGTCTTTTCCGAAAGACTGGCCTTTCCTGATGGCATGAAGTTTCACTATCCTTGCCTTAAAAGAGCACTCAGGTTGCATTTCCTTCAAGACAGATTTGTTTGTCCTTTTGACAATCTGTGGTATATTCAGTACTCTTCTCTAACACTATAGTTCAAAAGCATTGATTCTTGAGTTCCTTCATTTACTGTCCTACTTTCAGATGTATAGGAAGTAATTGAAAATACTATGGCATGGATCAGGTGCACCTTATTGTTTAAATTGACCTCCTTGTCTCTTAAGCACTTTAAAGAGGTCCTTGACAGCAGATTATTCCAATTCATCTTCTCCTTTCATTATTGCTGTTACTATGGTGGTGGTGATGGTGGATCCAAGTAAAATGAAATTGTTGACAACTTCAGTCTTCATCTGTCACGATACTAACTTGTTGTTCAGTAGTGAGGACTTTTGTTTCTTTGATGTTGAAATGTAATCCATATTGAAGGCTTTAGTTAAAGTTGCGCAATTAAGTGCCTTGCGTCTTTCTGTAAGCAAGGTGTGTCATTTGCATGGTGTGGTTGTTGATCATTCTTCCTCTAATTCTTAAGGCAACATTTTTCTTCAGATAATTCAGCCTTTTGAATCATCCTCTCAGCATACAGATTGAAGAGGTATGGAGAAATGATACAACTCTGATACATATCTTTCCTCATTCTAAGCCATGTTCCTTTATTCTGTTTTGTCAGCAGCTTCTTGATCTATGTATAGATTTTGCATGAACCCAATTAATTGTTCTGGGATTCTCATTCTTCCCCATGTCAGCCATAATTTGTAATCATCTACACACAAAAAAATTGATAGTGCCTGTTAATATTCTATGCTCCTATAGTAGAGGAGGACATCTAATGTATCAGTTTAGGGTCATTTCTTGACATTTTTTTAGTTGTTTAATAGGTCTTTCAATTATTATCAACATTTTCACTTAAAATATGTAGCACCTATCTTTTGTATTTCCTTAGGAAGAATATTTTGATAATTGTATTAACTCCAGTGATAAATATTTTATGTAACTTTTATGAGGATCAGAACCCTCTTTGCCTTGTTAAAACCTCAGTTTGTCACATAACAGTGTTATGTCCTCATTCTATCCCCATCAACCATACAAGCAAGGATTTTTTTTTTAAAGATAGTAGGTAACCTTGGTGGTTTATAGGTTATTTCAGATATTGATGAAGGCAACATGTTATAGGGGATTCATGGGTTTGATGTGTGTTACTCCCAGAGCATCAGCATTTTCTAAACTCATAGAGGTGGGATTCTTGAAAGTTTGGGGTGGTTTTCTTCCCATAAAGGATATATGCATAGGAAGTTGTAATCTTTTTAAGAGTTCACTGGATTATAATGATTATATATAATCAAGCCTACATAGCATTATATTGTTCATTATAGAGATTTATCTCTTCAAATATAACTTATAATTGAATTGACACTTTTAAAATGACGTTTTACCGAAACCAGTGAAAAGAATTTTACACTTTTATTTTGCAAAACTTTTTTATTTTAGCAAGAGTACAAGTCGTGAATTGTTTTGTTGGAAATGTGCAGTCCTTGAAGAAAATTATTCCATCATTTGTGGAAGAATGAAAAATATTTGTATGGCTCTTGTTAAAATAATTCTGTTTAAAATTATTTTAAAATAATCATAAACCATTGTTCTTTAAGGATTTATTCAAAGATAGTTACAGATTATATAGATTTGTAGTAACAGAAGTTTGTGTGCAAAGAAGTTTTTCACCATTAGTAGGTAGTACCTTCTTAAACTAGCTAGTGTTGGCTCTTAAAAAACTCCAAGTGAGGCCAAAGGATCCCACATTTATTGCAAAGGAAGAAATCTTTCAAGGTCAGATTTTTCTAATACCATTTGGAGATGATGTTGCTTTGATTTTTTTCATATAGTTAAATGCCTTTTAAATATAAGAATGTTTCTTGAAAATAATG